GAAACCCTGTCTCGAAAAAAAAAGCAAAAAAAAAAAAAAAAGAAACCAAATATGAGTGAGTACATCCCATGTTGCTATCTGTAATTGTTTTTGTGTGAACTACCTGTCTGTGTGTCTTATTCATTATTCTCAATGGAAATTAATATCATGATTTGTGAGGGATCTCTGACTTAGACAAATTAGCCATCTGGCTACACATGTGATATAAAATGTGACAAATCCCCTGTGAGCTTCACCTATGGCCATATTGCTATTTGACTGTATGTTTCTTTGTTGTGAATTAGAAACTTTTGTTTTTTGATTCTCATGTTTATATGTTTTCCCATTTCTCCTTTCATATTTCTGTAACTTATTCCACAATATTAAAAATATACATAACTATGTTTCATTCCCATATGTTTGTGGTTTTTTATATTTAAATCTTTAATCTACCTAAGCTAGTGCAATTTATAAGGTAGAGTCGGTTTACAGTTTCCAAGTGCCTTATTGTGTTCAAACAGCACTGTTTAATAACCTGCCAATCCAATTTACTCAAAATGCGGCTTTGTACAAACTAAGAGATATACAACTTGATAGTCAGACAACAGATAGAGATAGAAATGAATACCAAATAATTCATTGGTAGATAAAAGATGATAGTTAAATAATAGAAGATGATAGATAGATAGATAGATAGATAGATAGATAGATAGATTGATAGATAGATACATGCATACATTCATACATATATACAAGAATACATATATTCTTAGTTCCAATCTAGCAAGATATGTATTCCTATGCATCATTCATATTCTATTTTTTCTTGACCATTCGTACTTCTGCAATTTACACACTTATACACTCTTACCCTTCTCTGAACAGCTCCTCCAATTTTACTCTCCTTATTCCTTTCTAGGCTAAATATTGACTCTACTAGGAGGTTGAAAACCCCTGCTCTACTTCACAGCAGCCATCCTCCTTCATCAGACTGCCTGTCAGCAGTCTCTATCAATCACATATAAAATACATCTCCCTGAAACCAAAAATCCTTTAGCTGCTGTTTCCTAATGCTTTGCAGTTCCTGTTGTATTATATGGGCCATTAATTCATGTTTCCTGAATAAATAAATCAAAACTGAAATTAACTAGAGGTCATTTTGTCTCAGTTTCTGTGAGAGGAGTCAACAGGTCTTCATAACCTCAGTCTCACCTAGATGGTCTTAGTGGGCTGGAGGCACAGTCTGTCCCACCTAGATGCTCAGTGGGTTGTAGTACAGTCTGACCTAGATACTTAATGGGCTGCACAGTCTCACTTAGATGCTCTTAGCGGATTGTAGGCACAATCTCACATAGATGCTCTTAGCAGACTGTAGGCACAGTCTCACCTAGATGCTCTTAGTGGACTGTAGATATAATCTCACATAGATGCTCTTAGTGGGCTGCAGACACAGTCTTACTTAATTGTTCTTAGTGGGCTCTAGACAGCTTTTTATAAACTAAACCAAACAATCAAAAGACAACAGTAACAAGACATGGAAAAGATAAGACCTAGAACCGAGCCTTCTGCAGAGTGGAGACAATTTCATCCATTGGCTCTCACTTAAGAGTTACTCATTGGAATATTAACTTATCATTTATTTTTGGGTTCCTATCAAGAAAGAAGTGAACCAGAGAAGACCAAGAGCAGATAAGGAAACAAGAACAGATCATGGGGTGGGAAGTAGTCACCATGTAGGTGAGCTCAGGGGATGCTCAAGAACACAGGTGTTATCTTCTGTTAAGTAAGATAACCAACTGATCATGGCTAATTGTTGGTTTCAACTATTTGAATGTACTTTATAAAAAATTGACTATTTTCTAGTAACAAAACAGTAAAGAGCTACAGATACAAAAACTACTTGATTCAATGTCACTGTGGACCCAAACTACAAAAGGAAGCTACGTAATGTGGGAAAACTAAACTGAATGCTGGGAGGAAGGCGGTGGAGTGAGAGAGAAGAAAAAGAGTATAGACAGTTATAAAAATAAATAAATTATTAAAAAATAAAGTCTTTAAAGAGACAGGGTATAGATAATCATAGATTAAAGAAGTAAAGATAATAAAACAAATATTAAAAAGTAATATAATAAAAAACAAGCCATGTAAACATGAAATATACAAAGAGAGTCTGGACTATAGATATTATTGTGCTGTCTTTGAATTTTTTGGACTATAAAGAAGCTAAGTACAGAGAGACATTTTATTGTATAGGCTGCTAAGCTAAACCAGCAGGTATATTTATAAAGGTATCTTGACTTCAGAATTTGGGTCTAAGGATATGTTGCCTTAGAAAAGAGGTTCTTCTTTTGTTTCCACAGAGGATGAGAACCTGTGGATTGCTTCCAGACTAATATGGTTTGATAAACCAAGACCCCCTGAAAGGTTGCCTTGAATACCCCTCAAAAAATTACTTCACCTGACTGCTGACTGAGAGGAACCTAGTACACAGGATACACCATAAAAGACCTGATTAACAGCATCCCCAAACAGCAGAAAGTAGTCTAGAGAATTATGCCCAAATTCCCAAATATTTTTAAAATATTTTTTATATTTATAAATGTAAAATACATTTATAAATATTTCTTTACATTGATACAAATTTAAGATCAATTTTGCTATACTGTATAACATAGTTTCTGTGTGATTATTTTGGGACTGAGCAGTTGGGAACTAACTAGCGGCCTTCTTACAACAGCTATGTGTTTTTCCTGTTTTGTGTATTTATTCACTGATAAATGTTTCCTGTAATACAACATGTATTTATGCAAACACATGAGGTTACAAAATGAGTTTGTTATTGTTACACCTCTTTCAATATCTATGCACAGCTTCAGAGTCATATGTACTCATCCTATTGCTGCTCATATCCATAATAATATCAACAGCAATTTGAGCACACTTGGGGCTTCATTCACTTTGTTAATGTGAGTAAGCATTAATCTTCAAAAATGATCTTCACTCATGCCTAGTCTTTTCAGAGCTCCCTACTAATCTCCATGGATATATGAGAATTATAAGATGGAAATGTAAGGAAACTTGTTATTTAATGAACAGAAATACAGTTTATAAATGTTGACTGTGTGCCTGTTAAAAGAATACAGAGATGTTATTTTGTGGATTTAAATTATTTATTGCCTTTCTTTCTTTTCTTATTTATCTTTTTCTCGAATGTCTACACCAGAGAGCATGTGAGGGAGTGAGAAGACAGTTTATAGGACCTAGTACTCTGTCTACCAAATGGCTCCAGAGGATTAACTTCAGGTCCTCAGGCTTAACAGCAAGCACCTTTATCAACTGAGCCATCTTGGCAGCTTTACCTTCCCAAAAGCAGGGATCCTCTGACATCTCCATCCTTCATTTTCTCTGCCTTAACACCACTGCTTTCCTCTAATAGGGTTCTAGGATTACATTAAACCTGCTGGAAATTTTCAGCAAAATCTCTCTTTGTCAAAACTCCTAACTTAATCATGTACATAAAGACTCTTTATCATGGAAGGAAACATGTACACAATATCCAGAGATTAGAAGTTCAATGTAGTAGCATACTCCAAGAACTTGAAGGATGGAGACAGGGAGAACATAAATTAAAGGTAATTCTCAGCTATACAGAAAATTCAAGGTTAGTGTAGACCACATGAGTCCCTATTAAAGAGAGAGAGAGAAAAAGAAAATATTGAGAAATCAGATTGTAGACTTTCTTAGACTGCCAGTTTTCAGCTAACTATGAAGAGCTGCACAATTTTTGTCTTGCCTCTTGGCTTAGAATATTCTGAATCACACAATCACTAGTGTGAGACAATTTCCATATTTCTAACACAAGAGTTTTGCAAATTACTTTGAAATTTGCAATTATTCTACTCTTCGGTGTTATTTTCTTAGTGATGAAACAGAGTCAGTCACAACAAAATATGGACCTGTCATTGGCTTTGTTTCTTTTGGGAGAGGCTGCATCTCTGGTGATTAGAATATAGAAGAACGAAGTCAGGTTTTTTCATCTAAATATTCATTCTCCTATGTCTTAATGAAGAGCTACTTCAATTTCTCAGCTTCCTCAACTGTACTTAGAAATAATTATAGTGTATACTACAAACACTTATTGTGCTAATTGAATATGCAGAAGTGGTTTTAAATAACTCAAATCTGCCAATTATTTCCCACACATGAAATTATCATAAAGATTAGATAAAGCCACAGTGTAAGTCCAATAGTGAATCACCAGTACATCCATGCTTCTACTTCATCAGCATTTTCTGCAGTACACATAACAGTGTGAAGAAGTCAAGTGGAGTCAAGAACTGTTGGATTTCAAAAGAAAGAATTTGGTGACATGTACTTAACTGTGTGTTACCCATCTCAATTATTTCAGGCTCTTAGCTTCCAACTTAGTGTTTGAAGGGAAAAACAAAAATGTAAGAAAGGTTAACAATGTTTTGAAAGATGGGTTCATTTACTCCAATAATGAATTCACAACAATAGTAGCTGCAGGCTTTTAAATATTACAAGGTGTTTTCAAATATATGATCTCATGGGGCCATCTTGCTAACTCAATATAATATCTAACACCTGATGACAATTTGATTATTCACTCTTACCAGCTTATCATGCCCCTTCTTACATCTTGACATTGTAGCCCTTGACTTCATTGGGACCTTTAAATACTCATTTGTTTCCCAGGCAAATTGAGCTCTTCCACTCCAGTGCTTATAGTAAAAAGAATAGAAACTTGTGGAATCATCTTCCTCTCTCACAAATGAAGCAACAGCAGAGCAGTACAGCACATCAGCTGTTTCAAGTTCCTCAAATGAGTTTTATTTTTGCAAAACAAGGCCTCCGACTTCCCACATTCGTTGAGCTGCATTATGAGCAACATGACCAGCAGCCACATTTGTTGCAATTTTTTCAATATGTGGAAAAAAAGCAAAATATCAACCATGTATTATCTTAATCAAGATGCCAAATTATCTAACTTGTTTCTCCAGGCAAGCAGCCCAACCACAGGGACAGCTCCCAGGAGCCAGTCAAGGTTATCTGTCTGCCCGTCTACTCAGGACATCTGCAGGTAAGTCTCGGGTAAATGACCCTATTTAATATTTCTTAGACCAGTGTGTAGTAGTTTTGTTTCGTGAGCTGAGAATCAGTGGCTCTTTCTTCTACTTTGTGTTGTCCGTGGATTTCATGCCCCATCGCCCACTTAGTTTTTCTTCAGTCTATCTTTATTTAACAACTTCTGGCCATGCTGTCATTTTTCATCATTCTTTCTCTCTCTCTCTCTCTCTTTGTCTTCCCATGACTTTCCTTTCCATTCCCATTTCCCACCCTTTGCCTGGTGTCTTCCTTGTCTAGATCTTCCATCTTGCATGACATGTCAGAAGATGCATTTGAGCATGGCAGCCCTGTCATGGTGCTGAGCCAGGCTAGAAAGGAGTCTGGTCAGAAACCAGTAAAACAGAAGCCTAGGAGGAGGAGGAGGGTCTCTCAGAGATATGAGCACTCAGAAGAGCAAGCAAAGGGGAGAAGAAAGGACTTTCACCTCCAGATCTCAAGTTCCAGGTGGAGAGAACTTAATACGGACACTTCAGATTCATCCTCCACAGATGAGAGTCACTGGGTTCAGGCAAAAAGACGAGCTCAGGTTAAATTCAGACTGTCTCGAAGAAGGAGAAGTAACAATAAGCCATGTGGAAGCTTGGCTGGGTCCTCTACGCCTGGCAGAATCGAACTTGTTGAGCTGGGATCCAAAGGTGAACAGCACCAAGAGCTGATGGAATGTGAGAGTCATTCTTTAAACATCTGTAGAGGAAAAGTCACAAAGTACCAAGGATGCATCTCTCCCCTGCCAAGGGGGTCCGTGGAGAAGAGACCCCCAGGGAACCCTTCAGGGAGTAAAGACAGACACTGCCCCAGAGAATCTCAGCTCTTGCATACACTTAAGAAAAAAGAAGCAATTACAAAAAGATTTGCAGAAACTGATTCTGATTCTGAAATGCTGGCAGCTACAGAAGGGGGCAAGCATGTGGCAGACTCGGGGCTCCGAGTGAGTAGCTCCGCTCAGAAGCCTACTGATGTCTGTGAAGACGGGTCTGATAATTTCACAGTGTGCAGGTCAGTAGCTAAAAGGAAAGACTTGATAGCACCCAAACAGCCTGGAAGTTCGGTGTGTGTGTTTGAACATCCCTCAAAGCATGACATTCACTTGTACCGTTATGAGGTGGCTATAAAATGGAAAGCAGAAGGCTATGAACCTAGGCACAAAAGAATAAGATTTATTCTCTACCTTTTAGTTAATGGCTTATTCTGAGCTAGAGATGGAAAAAGCAACTGAGTTTTGTATTCTGCCTCAAACCATGGTGATGGAAGCTATAGGAGAGAGACTATGTGCAAATGTTCAGTTCAAATATGGTCAATTTTCTGCAGCCTGACAGAAAGATATTCAAGCCAGAGGTTTTTAAAGGTCGGGTTTTTGCATCAGAAAAATCTTCTCTGCTGTTAGCTGTAATTTGTTTTTCGGTTATCTGACTCAGCAGGGTAACTCAGGAGCCAAAGGACAGGGACATAGGTCTTGGGCTTTTGTCTGGGTGCCAGAGTCTCTAGGGAAAAGGAGTCTCATTCACTGACAATCATGCACTGATGATTCTGAACCCTGGGGATGTTTCACATCAATAAGACCATTTCATTCTGTTTTTTGTTTGTTTGGTTTTGGTTTTTACCTCAAAGCGTATATATTTTAAAAAGATAAGTTAAAGTTGAAAAGAATTAATGAGATTTCTATTATTGTCAGCATAAGACAAACTTATTTTTTGCATTACACTGAATTCTGAGACCAAGTAAAGATTTCCATTGCATATTGTTTATTTGGTCTTGTTTTTTATAAATGCTGTCACTGTTTTTATAAAACCTACTGTGTGCATGCATGGGAAACACAAACTAGCTAATGTAGTCCATATCCACTCAGGCCAAAACAAGAAGCATTAAGGTCTGGTTGAGAATAACAGGACAACTTGGAATCTGAAAGTTGTATCAGACAATTATTCATGAAACTTTCATTTGTTCCATTGTTTAAGTGTATTATGCACTGGGCTTTATTCTGAGCATTGAATGTTTATAAGTGCATGGTATTTGCATAGATTCTGATATGGTAGCACTTATAGTTGGGTGAAAACCATAAGCATAAAAATTATTCCACAGTTGTGCATATTTGCACACAATGGAGGATTTAGAAATATATAATACAGGAGCCCAAGTTTCTCTAGAAATCAGAGGGCAATTCAAAGGACAAAGGGAACTAATGAAAGTAAGAAGCATGAAGCCCATCCTGCAGAGGATGTTGTCCACAGGAAGCCAAGAGGAGTGAGGGACTTGGCAGGAGTGTGGCAGTCCAGACCAAGAGCCTGTTGCAGTGGCCAGGATGTGGTGAGTGCCAGGAGCGGGTGGTAGAGATTCAGATGAAGAAGCGGAATAGGCCAGAATTTCCAAGGCCTTAAAGCATTCTAGGGAACTGTAGAGGTTTAGAAGTGAAGTGAGAAAGACAAGGGAAGTGGTTCTGTGGTCAGGGTTCCCATGGTAAATGCATGAAGCTCTGAATTCAGATCCAGAGCACACGTTTTCAAAACATCTGCAGCAGCAGCTTGTACCTAAAATCTCAACTTTGGGGAGGCAGAGGCAGGAGGATTCTTAAAGCTTCCTGCTAGCCAAGTCAGTAAGCTCCTATTAATACTTAGAGATTCTGTCTCAAAATACAAGGGGAAGGGCCAGCAGGATGCCTCATTGTGGAAGAGTACTTACCACCAAATCTAAAGACCTGAGTTCAGTCACCAGGACCCACATTATGGAAGGACAGAACCAACTCTCCTATATTGTCTTCTGACTCCCACATATATGCACAATAGAAAGCATGTGCCTATACACACACACACACAAACACACACACACACACACAAACACACACACACACACACACAATGTGCTTGCACAAATAAATAAATACATAAATCAGCAAATGCAATAATTATGTTTTCTAATAATAATAATAAGGTGGAGAGCAATAGGTGAAGAAATTTGATCCCTGACTTCACATATACATGCATATATATATATACATACATATACATATCATATATGTATATGTATGTATATATCATATATGTATATATGTATACATATATGTATATACATATATGATACACATAAAACACACACGTTGCAAGTAAAGTGGCATCATGTGATTTACATAGGAATGTATTTTTCTTACAATTTTTTGAATATGATATTATGTGTCTTTACTGAAAGCTTATACTCTTTGTGATCTATACTGAGAATGTCCCACTTAAACTCTTGTCATTTCCCAAATCTACTTCTAATATTATTTAATAAATGGTACTCATAGATGCTGTTTTCCTGGTAACTGGAGGGGAAAAGTAATAGTTGCAGCTAGAGTCAAAGTGACAGGTTCCCAAACCTCACAAGCCCTGCTTTGTGTGTCTGTACGTTGGGTGTGAGGTACTTCCAAGGATAAGAAATTTATTTAGCTTAGGCTTCTACAAGTGAGAAGAATATCAAAGACTCTATAGATATTATTTTCTGCTGTGTGCTGCCATCAAAATAACCAGCAAAGAAACTGCTGTGGGTAGCATATCGTACTGGACGCTGAGGACCAAAAGTATCAAGAGACATGACATTTCCTTTAGCTGGTCTGTTGTCTAAGTGGGAGACATTGAATGTACACCTGAAAAGACAAAGACTTAAGAGAGTGAAGGTTAGTGTAAGTAGAGAAATCCTTCAAAATATTTTGAAGGAAAAAATATTGTCCGATACTGAGATGACATCAAAATCCCTTGAGATGAGGGGGAACTGGAGCTAGGCAAAGTGAACTTTAGCTTGGTAGAGAAGCATGGATGGAGCTGCAGGCCTTCAATCTGGTGCAAACGCCACTAGGTCAGACAACAGTCTGCACTGATGTTTCTGTGAATTTGTGTGGGTAAATTGGAAGAATAACACAGGCTTAATAAAATTTTCAAAGAATTGTGGAGAAAATACAGAATCATTCCTAGATGTTTAGCTCTGTTCTACTAATCTCTACTTCCCAATGGCCTCCAAGAGTATCATTTTTAATTAATTAATTTATTTATTTTTAAAAAAATATCTTTTAACATTTTACATACCAGTCCTAGTCCCCACTCTTTCCCCTCCTCCTGCTCCCTTCAGCTTTCTGTCCCTGCACCCCCATCCACTCATAGAGATGGTAAGGTTTCCTTCCCATGGGAAGTTATCTAAGTCTAGCACATTGCCTTAAGGCAGAACCAAGACTCTCCCTACTATATGTAGGCTGAGCAGGGTATCCCTCCAAAGGGAATGGGTTCCAAAAAGCCAGTACAAGCAGTAAGGATAAATTCTTGTCTCATTGCCAGTGGCCCCACAGTCTGCCCCCACCATACCACTGTCACTCACATTCTGAGGGCCTACTTTGGTCTTATGCTGGTGGTTCCTCCCACTGTCAGTCCAGAGTCAGTGAGCTCCCATTAGCTCAGGTGAGCTGTTTCTGTGGGTTTCCCCATCATGGTCTTGACCCCTTGTTCATATTATCACTCCTCCCATTCTTTGACTGGACTTTGGGAGCTCAGTCCAGGGCTTCTCTGTAAATCTCTGCATCTGCCTCCATCTGTTGTTGGATGAAGGTTCTATGATGATGTTTAAGATAGTCATCAATCTGATTACAGGGCAAGGTCAGTTCAGGCACCCTCTCCACAATTACCTAGGGTCTTAGCTGGGGTCATTCTTGTGGATTCCTGGGAATTTCTCTAATGCCAGGATTCTTGGCAATGCCATAATAGCTCCATCAATCAAGATATCTCTTTCCTTGTTCTCCCTCCATGTCCTTCCCCCATCTCAACCATCTTGTTCCCTCAAGTTCTCCTTCTCGTGAGTTTTTTTTACCTTAAAAGCTGAGATTGGTCAGAAGGAGTGTGCTACATTTAGCCCATCTGGAGACTGAGAATGCTTATCACTGGCTTTCTTATATCGCATAGGAGTCATGATATTTCTTTGAAGAATAAAAAAGTTCCA